TACGATAAAATCGTATAAAATACCCATTAGAAAATTAATTTTACTGGATCTGCATTGTATTATAAAACATTTTTTCTTTAAGTATTACAGTGGTATAGACACTATTAGTTTGAATAAAATTTTGTAAAATTCAAATCCAGCTTTTTAAATAATTTAATTAAAACTGATATGCTTACAAAAATAAATTATTATTACTTTCCCTAAGGTTTAAAAAAATGCATAAACCCTAAATATTAGTCCAATCATTTGGCAAAAAGGTGGCATAAATATTTTTTGCTACTAGCTGCTACTAAGGGTGCTGTAATTTTTTTAAATGATTATTTTTCAGTCACAATACTAAAATATATAAAAATATAAAAATATATTGGTGCTATGTAATAATATATTTGTATGAAATAAAAATATTTGTCCAAACATATTTATGGTATCCACACTCCACAACAAAAAACCAAAACAACCTTTTTTTCGGTCGATAGGAATGCACAAACAAAATTAAATTGAGGTACCTACCTATTCAATTGCTGCAATAAAAATCCTATCAGTCTTAAAATATACATATCTACCGAAAATCATTTGAATGTTTATGGCAAGCGAATATTTTTGTGCAATGGAAATTAGTGGCGAATTACTATTTTTTTATTATAAAAAAAATTTTTTTAAATAAAACGTCTGATTTTCATATTTTGGGGTTTAAAATGGTATATTGTTCAAGAAGTGAAGCAAATAGTCGATTTGTTTGGCACGCGAGCGTATCGAGCGGGGCAAGAATGCGAGTTTATAATTAAATATTCCTTAACAATATTAACAATTATTGTCTTCTTTTTCATTGTTCCACTAGTGGTAGGTAGAATATTTCCATTGTTTAACTAATGTAATAATAGCTTACTTTGTCCATTGTTTTCGAGCGTATAATGTCTCAATTCTAAGTAAGTGACAAAGTAATTTTTTATCATTTAATTTTATTTTTAGAACGTGTGAGCATAAAAAATGCAGACCTGTTAGATGAGTGGTTGGCCTCTCACGATAATTTAAAAGTTAGCAACGTTTTCAAAAAAATTCAATCTTTGTTGGGTATTGAAGAATGTTCTGAAAAAAATAGCCAAATTCTGAAGTTAATTATCTTATTTTGATTGAGCGATTAGTGGGGGTGGTCTTATTCGACGGCGCAGGTCTTAAAGTTTTATTTCCCTTCGGTCCAATTGTCATAATGCGTTGGAGAAATAAGCAGCGCGTGTTTGCCGTCGAGGCGTACTTTTCTGACGGTGGTTCGGTAATTTCAACCAGGCGCGCCTTCCGCAATCGCTTTAATATTGCGCCCCTAGGCAATGTCCCGGTAAGGGCATCAATTCTTTTATGGGTTAGCACAATTAGGGAAACAGGAAGCGTGCAGAAGAGAAAAATTGGAGGCGTAAAGCCAGTCAGAACCCCCGAGAATGTGGAAGCGGTAAGGCGTTCATTTGCGCGATCCACGAGGCGTTCGGCGCGCAAACATGCGTCTGCCCTTGGAATTTCCGATCGGTCTGTGAGGCGAATTTTTCACGAAGAACTTCATTTCCACCCGTACAAATTGGCGGTTGTGCAGGAAGCCGGAGGCGACAACACTTTCCCGGGCGCCTTATCTCTCTGAGGGGCGATTTGGAATGGCCGGCCCGGTCACCCGATTTAACGCCCTGCGATTTTTTGGTAAACTTTAGAAATAGGATTACTCAGTGTATTGCTAATAGGGGGCGTCAATCGCCTGATATTATATTTAAAACCGTGTGAAAAAGAACTTGTTGTACTACATTTTAAAAAAAATATATAAAACAATATTTTCCATACTTTTGGTTTTATTGCATTATAAAATAAGATAATTAACTTGCCGCACCCTTTATCAATAAATTTTTGCAAATGTCTTAGTTCCAAATGGAAGGTATCGCGACGAAACAAAATTTATTTTCAAAATCGTTTTTCTGATTGGTTAAACAAAGAAATTGTTACAGCTGAGGAATTTTTTAATAAAACGTATTCACAAGAATCACAAAATCCAGATACGCAATCAGAGGCCGTAGATGGTTCTAGTCAGGGCCGGCCCGACTTTTTTTGCCGCCCCGGGCGAAGATATTTTTGCCGCCCCCTTTTTATTCAGCAGAAATAGGAAAAAAGTAGTTTAACGTAATTATTTTTTCAAACTTTTTATAAGAGTTTTTTATGCTTTAGAATTACTAGGTAAGGCAATATACTGTTAAATATGTATATATACATAATTGCATCACTTGTCAATGATTATATCCCATATATAGGATATAATATATTACAAGAATTCTTTGGTTTGTTAAAATTTACTTTCGCAATATTCCGCGAGCTATAGCTATAGATTATTACATACATAGGTAATTGCTGTTAAAATATCGTATTTTTGTGCACCCGAATATTTTAAGTAACTTACTTACTTCAGGTGAATCATCTTTAAACAAATGATTTAAAATCAGTGCAAATGCACGTGATATAATATTTGTCAATTATTAATTGTTAATTGTCAAACAAAATTATAGAAAACTACAGGATGTGATTGAAGAAACGAATAAAAGAGGGCGCCAAGGTCGTCTTCCCAGAGCGCCTCTATTAAATCTTTGTAACAAAGATATTAAATTATCTAAACTGCATTTCTCGAGCGTAATTCTTGAAAAAATTGCCAATCGAAAAATGTTTAGTATGTTGAATAAAATTGATTATCATTAACAAATCGTAAAAATGCCGCCCCCCCATTATGCCGCCCTGGGCGGTTGCCCGGTTCGCCCGTACCTCGGGCCGGCCCTGGTTCTAGTCGTAGAAGGCCTAAAACAGCTCTCTTAGAATCATCTTCAAAAACAAAGAAACGAAGGGTGCAAGATTTACTTTTACACCCAGATGAGTTAGTTTTTGCGATGCAACTTTCTCAGAAATGTAGTATGAAAAAATAAACGCATCCAAATCCTACACCTGAAAATGTACATAGACTTACATCTGACAGACAGAAAATATATAAGACTAAGAAGTTTCCTAAATACTTTCCACCTTAATTTCTTTGCTAAAATAAAAAATATTTAGAGAAATAAAAAAGTCATTTTTACCTTTTGACATAGAAGCAACGTAAAGATCGGCAGAAGTAAAATTAAAATGATTATTAAATTATACAGCTATGAGTATTTTAAAAGTGCTTAATATTAACAGTGATGTACATAATTTAAACTTATTTGCAATTGGGGGTTTGATGGCAGTTCTGGCCATAGTATTTTTAAGCAGAAATTTACTTAAAATACTTATGCAGAAAATTTATTAGCAACAGATGAATTTCTCTTTGTTGCTGCTTGCCCTAAAGTTATTAACTGAAGATGATATTGAAATTTGGGTTAACCCCAATCCCAGTTCCACTATATATTGCCGTACTAATAAATTCATATTTTTAAAAGAAAATCCAGAGTTAGTTAGACAACAGCACAATCTTATAAATGAAAAAATTGAAAATCTTATCTCTTTTGAAAAAATGTTGGATAATAATTTTTGAAGTATTAAATTTGAGCTTCATTTTACCATGCTGGATGGTAGTGTTATAAATATTTTTTCAAATACCAACTCAACTGCTAGGTGTTTTATATGTTGCGCAACACCAAAAGAGATGAATAATTCATCTCTTTTGGTGTTGCGCCACATATAAAACACCTAGCAGTTGAGTTGGTATTTGAAAAAATATTTATTATTATTATTGTAAGAAAATTACTGAAAAATCTCCAAAACCAGAAAATTACCGGTTTGGCTTATCCACATTACATTCATGGATAAGATGTTTTGAATGCCTTTTGCATGTTGCGTACAAACTTCTTATTCGAAAGTGGCAAGCAAGAAGCTTAGAAAAAAAAGCTTTAGTTTAAAATAATAAAAACCGCATTCAAGAGGAATTTAAAAGTCGCCTAGGATTAATAGTGGATAAAGTCAAACCGGGATATGGCACAAGTAATGATGGCAACACTGCCCGGAGATTTTTCAGTAATTCCTCAGTTAGTTCAGTAATTACCAAAATTGATAAAAATCTTATAGAAAAATTTAATTTAATTTTAAGAGTAATATCTTGTGGACAAAAAGTAAATATTGTAACTTTTAGGGAACTTCTCAATGAAACTTTTGACCTATATTTGCAGTTACATAGCTTATATAGCAATGTACTAATACACGGTTGTGAAATAATCAATTCTTCTCCCTATAGGCATTTTTTCCGAGGAGGCTTTAGAGGCAACCCATACGGAGATTCGAAAAAATCGATTATAGCACACAAGAAAAACAAGTCGAAAAAATACAAATATAGATTTAATAAACATTTTTTTGCTTTTGTTTGATCCCTTAATTTCTATGAACATAAACATTCCTAAAAGACCGCCTCATAGTTTTGAGGGGATAGAAAAATATCTTATATAAAGAACAAATTAATTTATCATCTGACGAAAGCAAGGAATAAAAAAAAATTTTTAATTTCTGTTTAGTATTTTTATTTTTAATTTTTTTTACACCTTGCATATCGCACAAGATTTTCATGTTGTAAAATACTTTCAATTTCAAAAATTTTGTTTTTATTATTACAACATAAGTTGAGCAAAAAAAAACATAAGAATAAAATTAAGTTTAACTTTAACCACAAAAGTAAATTGATTTTTAATTTAAAGACAACTGTTTTTTATTTTTATTAATTTACCTTTTGAATATTTTTAATAAAATGACATATTAAAAAGTTGTACTTATTTTTAAGCTTTACACTACAATTTACCACATACACTATGAAAAAAGCATATTTTTTGAAAAACAATTAAATTATTGATTTTTGTCCAAAAACCCTATTTTTGTCCGCAATGTGCGCCAGGCCCCCTTTTGATTTAATCCGACCCTGACTATTATATTTGTTTTCTATTAAATAATTTATTATTAGGTATTTCATAAAATTGTGTATTGTGTTTATTTATCAAAAACACTGTTATAATTGTCGTTTTTAGGTAACATAGGTCAGGGTTTGTTCATGATGGGCCTGGCTCATTCCGGTTGCAATTATTCCATGGCCATCGTGTTTGTGACAACGGCCATAGCGATACACGGAGCTGTTTCGACGGGGCCACTGGCGAACATTGTGGATATAAGCCCTAATTATGCCAGTAAGTGAATTTCATTTGGGATCCAATTTCCCTGTGTGGGAAATGATTGGACTTCAATTTTGTTACTTGAATTTAACTTCAAATTGGTACACATAAAAATAGAGGATAGTATACAAATTGCCAGTTTAACGGAGTAAAATTAGGTCAAATATAAACAAATGGAAATTAAGTAGTATAGGTATGGTAGGTAGTTTGATAACAAATAAATAAATAAGATTTTCAAAATGTTATTTACATTAAAATAATGTTGATTACTTTTGTTAACGCAAATTTGGATTTGACAATGTAATATGTAAAATAAATAAAAAAAATTTGATTTAAAAATATATATAATATATATATTTTTAAATCAAATTTTTTTATATATATATTATATATATTTTGGTAAATATATGGGTGTTTTAAAAATTATCTTGGTAGCGTGATATATGTAGGTGTAATAGGCGTGTCAAGATTTCCTAATGAAGTATATGCAAAAATAAAAATTTCAAACATAACCAATTTCTTTGACAGATTTTTTTTTCCTGTTGTTAAACCATTACCTAACTACTTATTTTAGAATAAAGTTCATAAAATTATTTATAAAGTTTGCACCTTGACTTTTAAACGATTTAAATACTTTGAAAAATATTGAACATGACCTAGATATCATGTTAGAAACAGATTCGTAATTATTGACATATCTGTCATAACATTGTCACGCGATCTCTTAAAGGTTGAACGTCACGAAGGCGTTTTATATCTTGCGTTTGTCAAAACGCTGTAACATTCTCAAAAATTGTTTAAGAAACGTAGGAAAATAAATTTAAACTCTTGTTCCTAGCTTTTAAAAACGCTATACTAAAAATATTATTTATACTGTAAATTTCAAATGGTTTAAAGCATTGTTAAATAATTTAACTTCAATTGGTAATTTATTGAAAACATTTGTGTAATATCAATTTTAGTCTATAGTATACTGTAGTAGGGATGTAAATCAAGAGCATTATCATTTAAAAGGCACAATGAAAGCATTAAGATAAGCAACTTGGACATTTTTGCCTCAAATCGAATCAAATGCTGTGCAAGTAACTGCCCAAAATTTATGTTCGTTAATATAAAATTAATAAACCTAATATAACATAAATATACAATTTGCAAAGGAAACCGACTATAACTGAGGAGTGATTTTTCAAAAGGAAACCGACTATAACTGAGGAGTGATTTTTCAAAAGGCCTTATTTCCATTTTTGACAAAATCCCAAAGGTAAGGTTAAACGGCGAAATATGACAGCAGGCAGTATTATTAAATATTCATCAGATTTTTTTTTAATAATCTATATTGCCCTAACCTATACAGGTTATAGTCATTTTTTTGAAAAATTGTTGCAAATGGAAATACGACCTTTTGAAAAATCACTTCTCAGCTGTTAATATGAGTACGGAAAAATAAAGAAAACAAAAGCCGATTTCGTGTTTAATACCTAAAGAAGTAATTTTTTAGAATTTTTTTATGATGTACAATAATAATATTATGACGAACCTGATAAAATAAGAAATTTAAAATTTTTAGGTAATTGTTTTTTTCTTAATTAAAAATATTAAAGTATATTTACAACTTTTTTAAATGTTGTAGGACAATGTAGGTGGTTACATTATTAACTACATAATGGATATAAGCAAACATATTTAACGACTGGATAAAGTATTATGATTATGATTATTAGAGGTTAACTTTAATTTTTTTAGTAGTTATAAAAACCCTCAATAAATTTACAGATCCTATTCGAACCAAAATCTAATTAGGACCTATGCAAAATCTATACTTATATAGCGAGATTGTCAATAATTTTAAAATCATCATGGTGCATAATAGAATGTTATTTAATAAAACACTTTGGCCCTCACTTGATTGCTTTGTAATTCGTTAGATTGCACAACTGTCTTTAAAATAAAATTTATATATACATTCATGTATGGTTAAATTGAACATGACTTTAACTATACTATACAATAGGGTGTTTCAAAAAAATCGACTTTTTCTTTTTCTTCAAATGGTCAGCAAATTCTTTCAGAGGATGTCAAAACAAAGACCTCGTTAAAATTTGAGCTTTTAATTTGAAGATTTAGAGGTCGCGGATCGCACTTTTCTATTTCCCATTTAAATAACATAGGAATTTTTTTTTTTAACTTTAGAATTTTATACGTCTATATCGAATCAACTTATGGCAAGTAACATCTTAGATTTTTATAGTAAATTTAACGCTTTATAAAAAATGTCTCTTATAATTTTTCTATAAATTGATTTCTTCCAGAGTTATTCGAGGCCAAAGTTTGATTTCCATCGAATTTTCTCGTTTTTTTCAACTTTTAGCATCATGTAGTAAAAAAATCACATATTTATATCTGAAACATAGGAAGTGTTGTAAAAAAACAAAAAAACGTCACTTTTTTCCAAAGCCTACTACAAAGTTTTAATGAAAATATGAGATGTGTATAATATGCAAAGTAATTTATTTATAAATGCATTTTTCTCGAAAATGGTGCATCTGAGCAATTCAAATTAAAAGTACCTATTTTTCGTAAAAAACTATAAATTCTCATAATTTCATAAAAAAAAAATTATTAACCCAGAAAAAAGTTGGGGCTATTTTTGTAACTTTGCCCCCTCCAAATGTTACGCCTATGATTAAATTTTAACAGTTTTGATCATAGATCTAGATTCAGCATGTCAAAATTACCAAAGTAGGTACCGAAAATTCATTTGTTCATGTTCAACCCTCTAGGAATAGTTTTAAAAAAATTATCCTCTTAGGCTCCTATTCAGGGGGCCGTAGCTCCTTTAGGGAGCATTTTTTGATACATGTTTATTAAACAAAAAAAGTGTTATTTTTATACAAATAATGCACTGTTTAAGTTTGGCCCCCTGATTTCGGGACACCCGTATAATGATAATTGTACCATAAATGTTAAAAAAAAACACGAAAATTCGATGGAAATCAAACTTTGGCCTCGAATAACTCTGGAAGGAATCAATTTATAGAAAAATGATAGGAGACCTTTTTTGTAGAGCGTTAAATTTACTATGAAAATCTAAGATGATCCTTGACATAAGTTGATTTGATTCAGACGTATAAAATTTTAAAGTTAAAAAAAAAAAATTCCCATGTTATTTAAATGGGAAATAGAAAATTGCGATCCGCGACCTCTAAATCTTCAAATTAAAAGCTCAAATTTTGACGAGGTCTTTGTGTTGACATCCTCTGAAAGAATTTGCCGACCATTTGAAGAAAAAGAAAAAGTTGATTTTTTTGAAACACCCTACTATACAATGTATATTATACATACGTTTCAGTTAAAATAAAGTAAATCAAAGATTTTTATTTAAAAAAACATTCATATCTTCACTTATTACAAAAAAAATTACTTTTATTTAAATGGTTCACGGTGAGTTTTAGAACAAATATTGCATTTTTAAATTATTATTAAAATTATGTTAATAATATCTAGAGATGGAATTTTAGGTTGCAAAATTAGGTTAAATTTTTTCTTGTTTTAGGTAAAAAAATTCTTAAATTAGGTACTTTACTTTACGAAAGTACTGGAAAGCAACTTTAAGGTGGTAAAATAATTTATCTACGCTAGTGAGATAAGAACTTCTTATCCCACTCATTTTGAGTGAGATAAGAAGTTCATTAACGCACGCGTTTTTCTCTGTTTTTAACCAATCAAATAAAAAAGTCAAAATGTCAAAATAACCCTAAATTAAGTCTTAGACAAAAATAATTACCGTTTATTTTTTCATTTAGAGGCGTAGATAAAAATTTGTACAATATACGTGTGATAACGCTTTATTAACGTACTTTTGCGTGCGCAGGCGTACGTTAATAAAGCTCTTATCCCACTTATATCGTAAATAACTATTAATTTATTATTGTATAAAATTGTATTGAACAAGATTTTTATGATTTAAAAAAATTGAAAATAACTGACGAATATATCTTCTCAAAATATTATAATACCATCATAAATTTTATAATTGTTTAATGCGGCGAGGCGGCACATTCAAAATGTTTTTGTTAATAAGCATACAAATGCTGAAAATAACAAATTCACTTTCATTGTGATAGAAATGTTTAAAAAATACTTTCTCATAAAAAAACATGAAAATAAATGAGATTTCTAAATAAAACATAATAACATGAGACTGATTGTAAAAAGCACGACACCTGGCAACATTGCACAGGAATAATAAAATAAGAATCTACGTGAAATAGGTAAAATTAGACAGATTAGGTACTAAAATGATGATGATCAAACATATTCAAAATAAGAATAAACAAATTCAAAATTAAAATAGTCACTCTCAAAATAAGAATAAACACATTCAATTTGAAACCAAACAACGTCAAATTGAGACTTGTCAATTTCAAATTGATAAAAAGTATTAAAATCAGGAAAATATATTTAAAAAAAATATTAATTTATTTATAATAAAGTTCTACACATTCATATCAATTAAATTTAACGCATCAGGGATAAACCTTTGTACGTGGGCAACAAATCTGGCACAATTATTAATATTTATAATGTTAATGTTCTCAGTTATAATATGTTCTAACTGTTGAAGGCGAAACTCACTTTGAGTCATATTTGCCCTGCCTTCACCAGCCAAAATATGGGAAAGTTGCTCAGCCAGGTCCCGCTTAACTGCTGCTTTAAAACTCGACCAGGCAAGCTCAATGGGATTAAACATTGGACTGTAAGGAGCGAGCCTCAGTAAATTATGATTCAAAATTCCTCCTCTGTAAGAACTTCTTATCCCACTCATTTTGAGTGAGATAAGAAGTTCATTAACGCACGCGTTTTTCTCTGTTTTTAACCAATCAAATAAAAAAGTCAAAATGTCAAAATAACCCTAAATTAAGTCTTAGACAAAAATAATTACCGTTTATTTTTTCATTTAGAGGCGTAGATAAAAATTTGTACAATATACGTGTGATAACGCTTTATTAACGTACTTTTGCGTGCGCAGGCGTACGTTAATAAAGCTCTTATCCCACTTATATCGTAAATAACTATTAATTTATTATTGTATAAAATTGTATTGAACAAGATTTTTATGATTTAAAAAAATTGAAAATAACTGACGAATATATCTTCTCAAAATATTATAATACCATCATAAATTTTATAATTGTTTAATGCGGCGAGGCGGCACATTCAAAATGTTTTTGTTAATAAGCATACAAATGCTGAAAATAACAAATTCACTTTCATTGTGATAGAAATGTTTAAAAAATACTTTCTCATAAAAAAACATGAAAATAAATGAGATTTCTAAATAAAACATAATAACATGAGACTGATTGTAAAAAGCACGACACCTGGCAACATTGCACAGGAATAATAAAATAAGAATCTACGTGAAATAGGTAAAATTAGACAGATTAGGTACTAAAATGTAAGGTAAGAATGGTAAGAATCTTTGTGAAATAGGTAAAATTAGACAGATTAAGTAGTACTAAAATGTAAAAATTAGGTCCATTTATTTTGAAAATGAAAATTTAGGTAAATAGGTAAAATAAAATCAGGCTCAAATAAAATCATTTTGTTGAGTTATGATTAGCGTAAGCACTAAAATCCCATCTCTAATAATAACAAAGTTACTATAATTTAAGCCTTAGTTTCTCTTTACAAAAAACTGTTGGAAAAATCATTTTTGACCTGTCTTATTTTAGAGTGCCAAACTATCCTTATATAAGAACTTGCTAAATTTGTAATAAAGAAAAAAGTATATATTATATAATATTAATATACTATTTTTTTTTATTTAGGCGTTATCCTGGGAATAGTTAACGCCGCTGTCGCAGTGACTGGATTTATGACTCCAATTGTAGCAGGATACTTAACTCACAACAACGTAAGTAATAAAGATTTTATTATATAGTAGACTTCTAACAAACATGTCAAAATATTTTGATTTCAACTTTAAAGCCAACAAAAAATATGTCTAGTATAAAAAATTGCCCCAACAAAAAATCTTGTTAAAATAATATTACACTTAAACTATTTGTTATTTAAACTTGAACCCATGTCTCTTTCATCATGACAATATCATGGCCGCAAATGCATACCAGAATTCTAATAATGTCTTGTGCCTGAGTTGAAATATTATCCCATAATACGATTAACTTTTAGCCTGAAAAAATTAATTTCATTTTCATATGGTGTGTGGTGAGTGGTAAATGTACGTGCCTGGACTTTAAAATGCGTTCAATGTTTACCACTGGGTTAAAGATTCTTTCTTAATGCCATTTAGTTATCTTAAATATAAATTAACAATTATTAACTTAATTTAAAACCTTTTCCAAATATAAAAAATACGGTTTTAAACTATGTATACACTCGTAGGTAAACCAAACTTTGAGGGTTGAATATGACCCAAAGATTTATTTTGTTGTTGCTCCACTCCACATGTTTTGGCTGACCAATTTTCCCATGTAGATAGTTAGTTTACATTGGCCAGATTAAAAAAAATATTTTTTATGCCACCTGAGTTGTATGTAACTTTTTTATTAATATTATTTATAATTTTATATTATTAGATATTATTATTATAATTATTTTTGACCAAAAAAACCAAATAATTTAAAACCAACTATTTTTTTATGTAGCCGTTTTTTATTTGGGATTACTTTTGAGTTAAAAGTTTTGACGATAGTGGTTAGGTATATTAGTTAAGTCGAATGTTAGTAGCAGACCAAATGGAGCTAAAAGGTGTTTGTCCATTGTAAATTGTAGCCTACAATTTGTAGGCATAAATTGTAAATTGTTAAGCGTAAGGGATTTTTGTTGCAATCGAGCCGTTTATCGGAAAACTTGTTTCATTTTCATCAGACCTAAGTAATAAGTTAATGTTTCGCAACTGGTAATGAGAGCAATACACGAAAAACGGCTCCAATGCGACTAAAATCCTTAAAATGCTTTACAACTTGATTCTCACCACTACTGAACCCCTTGCTGTAAATAGATAAACAAAGAGCTAACCTTTTTTGAACACCCTGTATACCAGGATTTTTTTTACAATATATCTAGAATATATCTAAATTATTTGGAAATCAGAAAGGCCCCCATGTATCCTAAACATGAATCCAATTGAGAATTTATTAGGTAGGCTTATTCGCAATCTCATGGATTATAAAAATGCTTGAGGCTTTTATAGAAATTACTAACTTTTATAAAAATTCCTAACTAAAAATATCCAAACCGTTTTTCCTCAAATATGCCTTTAAAAATCAATAAATTTTCTCGGTAGCCTGATGTTATAAAATTAATGCTATATTGGTATACTAGGATTTTTGTTACTTTTCTGTTACGTTACCAAGGTACGGAAATAGCTCAGACATTCGTATTGTATTTCCACGCGGCGGCCCGCTATGGAGCGATAAACAGGTTTTTGACATTTTACATTGATGACGTAACGGACAAGTTATAAAAATTCTATACCTTTTCAACTTCAAATTGGAACTAATCAATTTCAATTTAGAATGTAACAATTTCAAATTGGGAGTTATCAACTTTTAATTGGTAACTAACACGTTCAAAATGGGAATAAACAAAGTCAAATTGGAAACAAACAAATTCAATTTGGTACTAATCAACTTCAAATTGGAATTTTTACTGAAATTTTAATTCAAACTGTCATACGTTTTGCAAGTCGAACGGCAGTTACGTTTAAACTTTATATTAAATAAATTAAAATGCCTTAAGCCGGTCATAGACCTGAAGAACGTTTTCATTGGTTAGCGTTGCCATCAATTGCAGCCGCTCGAAGTTTTTCCCGAAACGCTAACGAACGTTTTTAGGGGCTTCCCACATATACGAGCAGTTTTTAGCGTTTTTTGAATTTGTTTGTTTCCAATTTGACTTTGTTTATTCCCATTTTGAACGTGTTAGTTAACGATTAAAAGTTGATTAATCCCAATTTGAAATTATTACATTCCAAATTGAAATTTATTAGTTCCAATTTGAAGTTTAAAAGGTATAGTATATTGGTAGATTTTAAATCCCATTAATATTAATTGTTGAAATTAAACCTCGCCATGGCATACTTTATTTTTTCACACAGAGACATAACTATAACTTTTCAACTTCAAATTGAGACTTGTCAATTTCAAATTAAAACTAATCACATTCAGATTGGGATCAAACATATTCAAAATAAGAATAAACAAATTCAAAATTAAAATAGTCACTCTCAAAATAAGAATAAACACATTCAATTTGAAACCAAACAACGTCAAATTGAGACTTGTCAATTTCAAATTGATAAAAAGTATTAAAATCAGGAAAATATATTTAAAAAAAATATTAATTTATTTATAATAAAGTTCTACACATTCATATCAATTAAATTTAACGCATCAGGGATAAACCTTTGTACGTGGGCAACAAATCTGGCACAATTATTAATATTTATAATGTTAATGTTCTCAGTTATAATATGTTCTAACTGTTGAAGGCGAAACTCACTTTGAGTCATATTTGCCCTGCCTTCACCAGCCAAAATATGGGAAAGTTGCTCAGCCAGGTCCCGCTTAACTGCTGCTTTAAAACTCGACCAGGCAAGCTCAATGGGATTAAACATTGGACTGTAAGGAGCGAGCCTCAGTAAATTATGATTCAAAATTCCTCCTCTGTAAAAACTTCTTCAATAGCTGCATGATAAGGAGCATTGTCTACTACCAGCACCACATTGGTTTGGTATATGTTTTGAGCAGCACGCAGTACAAACTCATTGGCTTCTTCTCTTCTAAAGGCACCTCTTCTTGTTTCGTGGTGAATCAGGCCCATTATTCCTATGCAGCCTATTAGATGGATATTGGCCCCACGGCAGCCTGCTGAAATATAGCTACACCGAGTACCTTTTTTAGAACGCCCTTGTCTACGCGAAATAAATAAATTAAAATTCGTTTCGTCCATGTATATAATTGGTATGTTGTCTGCTTGGTAATTCAAAAGTTGTTGCACATATTCCTGGCGTTTCCTTTTATTTTCTTCACTGTTGGTTCGTTCGGGCTCCCTGCGAATATCTTTTAAAGTAAACATTAAGCCATCCAAATGCTTTCTTAAACATTCAGTTAAAACAGTGATTTGATGGTTTACCTCAAATTTTATTTTTAGTTCATTTAATGTTAGCCTTGGATTTTCCTCTACGTACTGAATAATAAAATTATGATGTTCTTCAGAAATTTTGACTCTCCTTCTTCCACCACGTGGTCTCTCGTTTTCCTGGTTCTTTACCCATCGATATGCTGTTGATTTCTTCACACCAAGAGTATTAGCAAGTCCTCTCCAGTCGCCATTATTATTATAAACTGCACAAATTTGTTTACGGATATGTTTCGCTTCTTTTTCCTTAATATATGGCATATTAAATATACTTTTGGCTCGACTTTTGGTTGTTTGCTTATTATAACCAGTTTGACACCAATTACCAATTAGCCTGTCAACTTGTTTACAAACCCTAGGTTACAATCTACTCTATAAACTTTTTTGTCAATTTGAAATTGACAAGTCTCAATTTGACGTTGTTTGGTTTCAAATTGTTCTTATTTTGATTTTGATTATTAAGATCCAATTTGAATACCGTAAATACGGGTGACTTTGCACCCCGCGGGTGACTTTAACCCATTTATGAAAAATCTTTTCGCACTCGATAAAATTAAAATTTATAATTTGTTGGTCTAAACCTGTCAATTGATCGATTCTATTGAGTTTATATTACAGGAAAATCAGTGTTTTAAAGAAAGAAATGGGATTTATTACACTTTAAAATTGTATATATCGTATCAGTGCAAAATTCTTAGAAATACACGCGTTACAATTTCTATATTATGCGCAATCCATTGGAATGATGATCCTTGGTTAACTACATGTCGATTTTTTATTTTTTTTATTGGTAATCCCTTGCAATAGATATATGTCGCTGCTAACACGTGTCTAATAAAAATAAAATATAATATTACATTCATTTTATACTGAAAAAACACTGTGAGACAAAGTAACCCGCAACCAGGGGGTAACTTTGCACACCCAGTTTTTAATGTTTATTTTTGAAACTCAGCCCTATGTAATATTATAACAAAGTTATTATGAAAGAGCAACTCAAGACTCAAATTTTGGTATACAAAATTTAATGTTTATGATTGTTAAAACCACAAAAATTTTAAGCTGAAGTTTGAAAGTGAGCCAAAGCCACCCGTGTTTACGGTATGTTTATTCTTATTTTGAGAGTGAATATTTTAATTTTGAATTTGTTTATTCTTATTTTGAATATGTTTGATCCCAATCTGAATGTGATTAGTCTCAATTTGAAACTGACAAGTCTCAATTTGAAGTTGAAAAGGTATAGATATTTGTTTATTTTCTCTGTCTAGTTTGTAGTTTAAATAATAATTTTTGATTTTTGTTAATTGCATTATTATCTTAGAAATTGTCATTTTTGGTAAATCCAAATAAAAATTCCAAGAAAAGATTATAAATAACAAAATATACTAAAATAAAATTTATTCGGTGTATTATGCTAAAAATTATTCTATAAAAGAACACTTGGATCCTTATACAGGGTGTTTCTTTTAACTTGAGACAGCTCAATATCTCGAGAAATACGCATTTCACGGAAAAATGTCTTAAATAAAAGGTTAATGTGACTAAAGGGGACATTATTTGGTGCTACCGCTAGCCAGCCCCTACCCCTCCTTAAGGGTGAAACGGGGGGTAACTTTGGAAAGTCAAATGGAATGACCTGATTTTTTTCACAGAGTTTGGTAGTACATAAAAAAATAAATAACTTTTATTTAAAACTTTTTTCAATTTATCAACAGATGGCGATGTAATTCAAAATTTAAGAAAAATGAGTTTCCTTGTAAAATGTATTATTTGAAACGTTTGAAAAACAAAAATTAACATTAACAACAATAGTCGGCTATGAAAACAATTTATAACAAATGTTCGAAATGTCGTCATTCCATTTCAACACATTTTTAAATGCGGGTAATGAATTCTGGCACACAACGCGCCAACATATCGGGCGGTATCGCCACACAGGCGTTCCTGATCCGCTCCACCATGTCCTCCCAAGTTGTAGGAATTGCAGCGTAAACTTTTTCTTTCAAGTAACCCCACTGGAAGAAGTCTGGTGGCGTAAGATCAGGTGATCGAGCAGGCCAAATTACTGGACCACGTCTACCGATCCACCGCGGTGCACCGGCCATTGAACTCCCGATCCAACACCTCTCGAGCAATTGTCGAATAATGTGCAGGACAACCATCTTGCTGGTACCACATGTTTTGGAGCCGTGCTAGTGGTACATCCTCCAAAAGGTCCGTCAGATCGTTTTATAGAAAATTCCGGTACTTTTCGCCATTTAATGCACCGTCAATAAAGAACATTTGTTATAAATTGTTTTCAGAGCCGACTATTGTTGATTTAATGTTAATTTTTGTTTTTCAAACGTTTCAAATAATACATTTTACAAGGAAACCCCTTTTTCTTAAATTTTGAATTACAGCGTCATCTGTTGATAAATTGAAAAAAAACTTTCAAATAAAAGTTATTAATTTTTTTATGTACTACCAAACTCTTTGAAAAAAATTGGGGCATTCCATTTGACTTTCCAAAGTTACCCCCCGTTTCACCCTTAAGAGGGGTAGGGGGTGGCTAGCGGTAGCAGCAAATAATGTCCCCTTTGGTCACATTAACCTTTTATTTAAGACATTTTCCGTGAAATGTGTAGTTCTCGAGATATTGAGCTGTCTCAAGTTAAAAGAAACACCCTGTATATGAAATCAAATTAATATACTCTTAACTTTTTAAATCTAAGTATATAATTATCAAATCAAATCAAATCAAATCAAATCAAATCAAATCAAATCAAATCAAATCAAATCAAATCAAATCAAATCGAATCGAATCGAATCGAATCGAATCGAATCGAATCGAATCGAATCGAATCGAATCGAATCGAATCGAATCGAATCGAATCGAATCGAATCGAATCGAATCGAATCGAATCGAATCGAATCGAATCGAATCGAATCGAATCGAATCGAATCGAATCGAATCGAATCGAATCGAATCGAATCGAATCGAATCGAATCGAATCGAATCGAATCGAATCGAATCGAATCGAATCGAATCGAATCGAATCGAATCGAATCGAATCGAATCGAATCGAATCGAATCGAATCGAATCGAATCGAATCGAATCGAATCGAATCGAATCGAATCGAATCGAATCGAATCGAATCGAATCGAATCGAATCGAATCGAATCGAATCGAATCGAATCGAATCGAATCGAATCGAATCGAATCGAATCGAATCGAATCGAATCGAATCGAATCGAATCGAATCGAATCGAATCGAATCGAATCGAATCGAATCGAATCGAATCGAATCGAATCGAATCGAATCGAATCGAATCGAATCGAATCGAATCGAATCGAATCGAATCGAATCGAATCGAATCGAATCGAATCGAATCGAATCGAATCGAATCGAATCGAATCGAATCGAATCGAATCGAATCGAATCGAATCGAATCGAATCGAATCGAATCGAATCGAATCGAATCGAATCGAATCGAATCGAATCGAATCGAATCGAATCGAATCGAATCGAATCGAATCGAATCGAATCGAATCGAATCGAATCGAATCGAATCGAATCGAATCGAATCGAATCGAATCGAATCGAATCGAATCGAATCGAATCGAATCGAATCGAATCGAATCGAATCGAATCGAATCGAATCGAATCGAATCGAATCGAATCGAATCGAATCGAATCGAATCGAATCGAATCGAATCGAATCGAATCGAATCGAATCGAATCGAATCGAATCGAATCGAATCGAATCGAATCGAATCGAATCGAATCGAATCGAATCGAATCGAATCGAATCGAATCGAATCGAATCGAATCGAATCGAATCGAATCGAATCGAATCGAATCGAATCGAATCGAGTCGAATCGAATCGAATCGAATCGAATCGAATCGAATCGAATCAAATCAAATCAAATCAAATCAAATCAATTATTCGAAAGTATTTATTGCAATCAATGCAATATTTAATTTAATTCTTCTTTGTCACGGAATATTGTTAAAATGTAAAATTTACATAGCAGTAGACGATAGACATTGACGTGAAGTCCAGGTTGCAGGTATGCACACAAGCAAATTACACTTAATTTGTATATACAGTAGTAATGTTTATTTTGACCAATTTAGCAAAAACGCCATATTTTTTATACTTTATTATACCTTTTATTAGGTTTATGCTGGGGTTCTTAAAATAAAGGTTCAGAAATAGTTGACATAAATATTCTTAGACAGGCCGACATCTCTAAAATACCGAATATAATATGCTGAGGTAAAATATAATAAAAATATAGATCCCTAACGTTTTTTTTATTAAAAGTTTAATTTTTTTGTTTTGTTTTAGCAATCCGTGAGCCAGTATCAAAAATTCTTTTGGTTGGCAGCGGCCTTGCTTTTTTCCAGCGGTTTTCTCTACTGCTTGTTTGCTGATGCTAAACTTCAGCCTTGGAATTCAATCGAAACTAAAAAACCTGAAGAAGAACGAATGGTTATCAAATCAAATATTTCTGAAAGGGATCAAATGGAAAGAGAAACAGAAAGGAATAAAAATAAGGACGGATATCAACAGGTTAATGAAACTGAAGCTGACAAATAAATATGTTATTTATATATTTATTTTAATTTTAAATACTGTTTAATTTAATTCTTCAAATACTCAAAATTATAACTGAAGTTGTGGATATAATAAAACTTTTGAACACAAATTTGTGTCAATAAAAGTTACGAAGGTTATAATTAAGTTTTCCTGAGTTTAATATTTAATCAATTAATATATTAATTACTATTAAAATCCCTAAAGAACTATGATTTAAAACTGTTTGGCATTTCTCAAGTAAAAACTTTATAAAAAAAATTATTGCGGCGACAGTATAAAAATAAAATACCTATTGATAAATTAAAATGGTTACTACAGCCTTTCTAACTTAAATAGGAATTTATTTTGAAATACTTGTACAAGTATTTAATGGCGAATATCCATACATTTAATCAATTTAATTTATTTTAGTAACTGCAGTAATTTAATTATTATTATTCTTTTACCCAAGTTGAGTAACCTAAACATGTCTATTTCAATAGTAATTATATTCCAGTTTTATTATTGAAAATAATTATAATAATTATTATTGGTCAAAAAACCCAAAAAATATTTTTGGTTAAAATAAGACTTTAAAAATAATAACATTTTATCTAAAATATACCAAAAATTTCAAATTTTAAACTTTACTTTTCAAAAAACTGAAAGCATCTTGATAAATATTAATTTATAATAAATATAATTGGAGTCTTTGAGTGTTTTGTTTTTTAGACTTTTGTGCAGTGGCGGGATAAAGGACTTTTCAATCTGAAGTAAGCGATTGTTGTGTTTTTTGGTATTGGTAAAAAGAGGGACCATAACGAAATGGAAAGCCACTCGAAACAAGTAGTAGTAGAAGCAGTGAGGAGTCAGGACATCGTAACTGTTCATTGCGTACAAGTAAACAACGACAATCTAGATCAAGAACTCCACAATTAATAACAGTTCCGAGCAAAGTGACTCTACCGTAGCAAAACGTAGAGCCTCGATCAGAAGCAGAAGCTGACCGAATTGCGAAACTGGAAAGTTTACTTCACAAACTGATAAATTTCGAAACAACAAAATTATGTAAGGCGAGCTACGAATCGTTATGCCGGTCGTTCAGACTGTATATTAGAGTTTTCACCGGAAGATAGAAGTTTAATCACAACTAGGTGGCTAGACAAAATCGAACAACTTTCGGTCATTAATGGATAAGATAAGTTGGCTAAAATTTATAAAAATAAAATTTATAAAAGCGGAACGAAACATGGCATCAGTACTATTTCAATAAGATGCAACTAATTAGAGCATGCAAAATCAAGGGCAAAATCAAGGGCAAAGATGCCGTATCGTGCTTTATTGATCACAACACTAACAGGAGCTAGGGACGTTATGATGGCCCAGAAGCCTTATATGTGGAAAATGTATCAACTTTAGCACCAGATACTAAACATACTCATACTAATGTTTACTGACTGGTAAATGGAATACCAACTAAAGCTTACTTTGACTCAGGATGTGCTGGCGTTCTTATCCGAGAAAAAAAAGCCAAAACATGGGGTGTGGATCAGTAAATGTACGTATAAATGGATACGGCGATGGTTCTACGAGAGCACTGGAAAAATGTAATATCCTCTTGGAAATAGACTTGGCAAAAGTGGATGTTGAAGCGTTAGTCATTGATACCATCACACGAAATATTATTGTAAAGGGCACATCTATAATAGTACTTATTTGTGTTTGTCCTATTGTGTAATAGTCCTTCGGAGGGGACTTTAAGCCCGCGGTCCGTTCCTACCCCTAACCCGCACAAGCCATTCAGTTGGCTTCTAGGACTTCTTAGAAAGTAAGGGTGGAACTAAAAGAGCACTTTTGTATATAAACTTTTTTGTATATAAACATATAGGCAATGTGAGATTGATAAATGATGCAGAGTAAACAGCAACAAGTTCCAAGGTGATTGTGCAGTTACCACAAAAATAAGTAGGTAGATCTTTGTGCTAAGAAGGCAACTACCAAACCATGATGGGAACATCATGGTTTCATGTGGAGAAAACAATTACGAAGGTTGCATAACAACCTCTAGAAATGGAACGGTTTCAATTTACAATTTAAGTAACTATAGGTGTTGACATTAAAACAAAATCAAATTGTCACCAGAGCATATCCATATCAAAAAGAACATGAACAATTGGTAAGTGTTTTGCATGCAAATCTTAATAAGACACGACAACTTTTTGCATGAGTGAGCTTGATTCTCAAGTTAATGCATGTTTGAGTATCAAAGACAAACAAACGTTGTTGGCACTGATAAACGAATATGGCGACTGCTTCGCGGAAAGTAACGTGAGCTGGAAAGGTTAGAGGCATCAATGTTAATAAAGTTAGTTGAAAAAAAAACTTCTGACTTTATCGATAAGCATTCACTGAGCGCGAAAAGGTTCGCGATATTGAAAACGATTTGATAGAGAACGAGATTATAAGAAAATCGGACTCACCATATTTGAGCCCTATCCTTCTGGTTAGGAACCCCCCCCCAGCAAAGAATCTGTAAAAATTACACCCAGTGTTATAAAATGAAATATAACACGGCAAATATTATATTAAATTACTTATAAATAAATTAAATAATTACGGTAAATTAGGCTCACTAATTTAGTAACCCAAAGTACTTTTGAGGTGTTGTATTCATGGAAAAAGTATTGAAAGAAAAATAATAAATACAGTAAAAAAAAGGCAATAAATATTAATAATAATCACAATGAACAGATAAAATAGTGAAATAAATGAAAAAAAACTATTAAATATGACAATAAAAAGGCAGTAGAACTAATATTAATTTAGCCCTTTTATATGCAAATTATAATATAAACCAAAATTGTAACTTTTTTGTTTCTTGAACAATTTTATTTTGGTCTATGATGTCTGCTAGCCCCATCCTCTGGCAATTCATGCTATAGATATGAAGCTCAAGGTTCTTCAAGAAAATTTCCTACAGTGTGATATGTAAAACGATGAAAAATTTCAATAAGTTCAACGAAGCCCCGTTTGTAAAAAAAAATATTTTTTCTCGTTTTTACTTTAAAATAATGAAGTATTATGTCTTATCTTAAAAATATTTTCAAATTTTTTGAATTGGAATCTTGGCAACGAAAATATGATTTTTTTTCAAAAGAGTACATTTGAGGATTTTTTGTAGGCAATACACTCATCTTTTTAAGAACAAGAAGATAAGACGGTGAAAGATTGTTCCTTGAATAATTCTGAAACAAGCAACAAGCAACAAACTTCCATTATTTTCAGAGGGGCCTAAGCAAAGACCACTTTTTCAAAATGACATTTTGGTGAAAATTTGCGAAAACTAAACCTGAACCGATATTTACGTTCGTGACATGTTTTCTTTATACTTTTGACCTCCTGATTGTGATCCAGTTTTCAAATTTAAGTTTCAGATAAAACAATAATCAAAATTCAAAAATAATTCCCGGCTGTTAAATATCTCAATAACATGCCATTGCCAATGCCATTTGGGGATTTATTTTTTGGGCGAAATTACTGCAATTTGTTTGAGTGGTTACGATAATGTTACATAACTTACATTTGACTTGTGTAAAATATCTGTAATATTATGACATGAAAATATCTGTAATATTATGACATGAAATAAACATTATTATTATTATTATTATCATTCACATTGCGCACTAGTGATAACTTATTACTGATAAGTACCTATGTACCTAATTGGTAATAAAGTTAAATATAAATATTTTTGTTCATTTTTGAAAATTTTACTCGAAGATATAATCATAATCAAAACTACAACATTCAACAGAAAACTGTAACAAACAATAACAATAATAACATTCAATTTTTCGTTGGCCTCCCCTAAACCGTAATAATTCGTTAACCCTCCTGGGCATTCCCTCGACCAAGTTCCTTAGAAATTCCTGGGGTATGGCATTCCATTCTTCCTGAATAGCATTTACCAATTCATCAAAATTGTCCATGCGTCCTTCCCTCTCTTTCATATTCAGTTTCATTCATTACCAATTCACTCTTTCCATTTATCGCCATTCCACCCCAAACAGTCACTCATCCACTTCCAAAAACTACCCTTGCCTCCCGTTTCGTGCAATCTCCTGCGAACCGTTGATTTGGAGATGTGAAGTCCTGTAGCTGCAGCAAAGTCTAGCATTGGCATTTCAATCATTTAAAGGAAGAATGGAAGTAAACTGGGTAAGATGAGTTCGGTTGGGTTGGCAAAAAAACGAAATTTGGAAAAACACAAGCAAACCAAAAAAAACAGAATATCATAATGTGTTTTGACTGTTTTTTTTTAAGAAGAACTAATTTTCATCATTTGAACCTTCAGCACCATGTCGTACTAAAGATGCAAAACGCAGTAAAAAAAACAGTTAAAACCAGAAATCGGATTTTATTGAGACATTTAACAGCCGGGTATTGTTTTCGAATTTTTATTCTTGGTGATTTTGGTTTTAGTTTTCGCAAATTTTCAAAATGTCATTTTGAAAAAGTGGTCTTTGCTTGGGTTCCTCTGAAAATAATGGAAGTTTGTTGCTTGTCGCTTGTTCAGAAGTATCTAAGGAACAATCTTTCACCATCTTATCATCTTGTTCTTAAAAAGGCTTAGTGTATTGCCTACAAAAAAGCATCAAATGTACTCTTTTGGAAAAAAAATCATATTTTTGTTGCTAAGATTCCAATTCGAAAAATTTGAAAATCATTTTAAGGTAAGACATAATACTTCATTATATCAAAGTTAAAACGAAAAAAAATTATTTTTTTACAAACGGGGCTTGGATGAAGTTATTGAAATTTTTCACCGTTTTACATATCCCCCTGTAGGAAATTTACTTGAAGAACCGTGATCTATAGCATGAATTACCAAGCTACCACTTAATGCACAAAATGCAAAGTGATCTCTTACAATAAAAAATACCTAAATCTATTACAATTACATAATTCACAATACAATTATTTAGTCAGAGACACAATACATATTTAGTAAGAGATCATATTGATAATATTAATTGTGTGATTTCTTCGGCTTATAGAAATTTGGGTTTTTTATTTAGAAATTTTAAACAACCTTCGGTTTTATTTTTGTTAAATTAAATTTAGACTATGCTAGTTGAATTTAATATTTTCTTATTAGCATCACCAACTATAACAAAATAACAACGGAATCTCAAAGAAAACATTCCTTATTAATATTTATTTTTAAAGTTGCTTATGTTTTAATTGACTGCCATGAAATTCTAAAAATGATAAATTTTCATGTTCTCCGAGTTACTACTAATAAATAAATAAATAAATAAATAAATAAATAAATAAATAAATAAATAAATAAATAAATAAATAAATAAATAAATAAATAAATAAATAAATAAATAAATAAATAAATAAATAAATAAATAAATAAATAAATAAATAAATAAATAAATAAATAAATAAATAAATAAATAAATAAATAAATAAATAAATAAATAAATAAATAAATAAATAAATAAATAAATAAATAAATAAATAAATAAATAAATAAATAAATAAATAAATAAATAAATAAATAAATAAATAAATAAATAAATAAATAAATAAATAAATAAATAAATAAATAAATAAATAAATAAATAAATAAATAAATAAATAAATAAATAAATAAATAAATAAATAAATAAATAAATAAATAAATAAATAAATAAATAAATAAATAAATAAATAAATAAATAAATAAATAAATAAATAAATAAATAAATAAATAAATAAATAAATAAATAAATAAATAAATAAATAAATAAATAAATAAATAAATAAATAAATAAATAAATAAATAAATAATCAAATAAATAAATAAATAAATAAATAAATAAATAAATAAATAAATAAATAAATAAATAATCAAATAAATAAATAAATAAATAAATAAATAAATAAATAAATAATCAAATAAATAAATAAATAAATAAATAAATAAATAAATAAATAATCAAATAAATAAATAAATAAATAAATAAATAAATAAATAAATAAATAAATAAATAAATAAATAAATAAATAAATAAATAAATAAATAAATAAATAAATAAATAAATAAATAAATAAATAAATAAATAAATAAATAAATAAATAAATAAATAAATAAATAAATAAATAAATAAATAAATAAATAAATAAATAAATAAATAAATAAATAAATAATCAAATAAATAAATAAATAAATAAATAAATAAATAAATAAATAATCAAATAAATAAATAAATAAATAAATAAATAAATAAATAAATAAATAAATAAATAAATAAATAAATAAATAAATAAATAAATAAATAAATAAATAAATAAATAAATAAATAAATAAATAAATAAATAAATAAATAAATTAATTAAATACTAAATACACAAATTAAACTTATGAAGGAAGTTATAAAAGTTTATACATCTATAAGAATAGAAATAAATCTTTAAATAGCGATAACGGACAGGTCCCAACTCCCAAAAATTAGTTTGTTAGAATAGAATAGAATAGAATAGTTTATTGTCATCAAAAAAATGTTACATGACTAGTCAAAAATTTCAAGTTACAATAAAATAAAACATAATAGGTACAATAAATAATTAATAAGTAAACACAGTGTATATCCAAATTAAAATCAATGAATACAATTAATACAAAAAACATTATAAACATTAAAATAGCTGGAAGTAGTATAAAAAAAACTTATTGTTTATTGTTTTGATTAAAAACCGCAATTATTTAACATTTGAGCAATAGCGTTGAGATATCACACTCTAGGAACTCTTCAACAGTGTAAAATGCACCAGTGGTAAGTATGCATTTTATTGACTTGGTAAATTGATTTCTTGGTTTTATTTTTTTAGGAAGTTTATTGTAAAATTTTACTCCCCAGTAATCCACGAATTGCTGTGTGGCTTTCTTAATATGTAGTGGGATTAATAATTCATCTCGGTTTCTTGTGGCAAAATTATGGGTTTTTCCGTTTGTGTTAAAGTTGCTTAAGTTTGAATATACATATTTAAGACTTTCAAAACTATAGATAGAAGTTAATGTAAGTATTTTTTTCATTTTAAACCATGGCCTACATGTTTCATCGTGGTCCAAGTTATAAATTATTCTTATTGCTCTTTTTTGTAGAATAAAAACTTTATTTGCAGCTGATGATCTTCCCCATATAATAATTCCATACATAAGTAGGCTTTGAATGTTAGCAAAATAAGCAGTTTTAAGAATATTTAGAGTTGCAATGGTTTTTAACCTCCTAAGGCAGTATATATTTTTTGAGATTTTGTTGCAAGTCTTTTCTACATGGCAAGACCAGTTAAGTCGGCTGTCTATATAGATCCCAAGGAACTTTACCATTTGATTTTCATGTGTCTTAAATGTAAGTATTTCGGTTTTATCCTTATTAATTTTTAGTTTGTTTTTAGCAAACCAGCAATCAGCTTTTTCAGATATATCTTTTGCCTTTAAATCAACTTGTTGTTGATTTTTGCCATTTATTAAAAATGAAGTATCATCGCAATAAAGGCATGTGGAGAGGCTATTTTTAACCTGTAGATCGTTGATATATATTATAAAAAGTATGGGGCCTAGAATAGAGCCTTGAGGCACACCATAATCTATTTGTAAGTCACCAGATTAAGAATCATTATAATAAACACACTGCGTTCTTTTATCTAGGTAAGATTTTAGTAAATTATACATTGGACCCCTAAAACCATAATAATATAACTTTTCCAGTAAAATATTATGTGGAATTGAGTCAAATGCTTTACTCAAGTCCAGATTCATCATACTCAGCTTTTCACCATTATCTAATGCCCCAGTAATGGAGTTTATCACTTGAAGTAATGCTGTCGTAGTACTCCTTCCTACTCTATAACCATGTTGGTAATCTGTAAGTAAATTTTTTTTTTCTAGAAACTTTACTATTCTGTTTTTGAGTATAATTTTAAAGATTTTTGATAATGAAGGTAAAATAGATTTTAAATTTTCACATTTATTCTTATTTCCTTTTCCTTTATAAATTGGTACAATTTTTGCGTTTTTTAATTCCGGTGGAAAACATCCTTCACGAAAACATTTATTTATTATTATATTTAAAGGCTCTAAAAGTTCATTTTTAATAGATTTTAAGATTTTTGTAGTTGTAAAATAAATATCATTAGTGTTTTTGGTTTTTAGAAGGTTGAAACTTTTATCCAATTCTTGGACTGTGCAACCAAACATAAAAAATGACTTATTTGTATCTAACCGAGTGGCCTTAGCAAAATTAATTGCTGAACATTGTGTGTCCGGAATTTCTTCGTAAGTATTTTTACCAACTTTAACAAAAAATGAATTGAAGTCAGTTGGTTTTAGGTTGGTACTATAATTCTATGATTGTGGTTTTTCATTCTTTATTATATTCCACAGTGTTTTTTGTTTGTTATGTGAATTTTTAATTATTTCTTCAGTTTGCCGTTTTCTTGTGTTTTGGATTTCTTTCTTGTATAGGTCTTTATAATTTCTGTACATTTTTTTCGGATACCTGATCCTTTTTAACTTGTTTTATGGTATATAGTGCATCAAGTTCATTTTTTATTTTTAAAATATTTTTTGTTTTCCATTTAGTTATATGGTTTATTTTAGTATTTTTTTTTTACAGGCATATATTGATCTAAATATTGCATTAGCAGCAAGTGAAAAGCTTTAAAAGCATTGTCAGCAGATTTAGTTTCAAGGAAAGTTATCCAATCTATATCAATTAACTGTTTTTTTAAGTGGTATGTATTTTTTTCATTTACAATTCTAAATTTTAACTTTTTTATTTGTTCTTCAGGTTTACAAATGTTTAGAAAGCATATGATCTGACCTAAGTGATCCGAAATATGAAGTTCCTTTGTTTCAGCTATAATTTCAGTTTTTTTAATTAATCTAATTCCTTAGCCAACCATTTATTTTTTACTGCTAGAAGTAGACCTCCATGTTTGTAAATTTTTCTTTCAAAGCTACTAATAATATTATAATTTTCCAGTTTTATTGTACTTGATTGATTGTTGGATAACCAGTGTTCTGTTATACACATAATATCAAAATTGTCTTCAAAAGTTATTAATGCCAATTGATCAATTTTTTTAGATAATCATTGTATATTTAGGTTTAAAAGTTTTGGATTATTTTTATAGTTCGGAATTTTTGTTGGTTCGAAAAAATATATATCTTCTTACCAAGAGATTTTTTGGCCACAATTCTGGTTTTAGGACTTCATCCAATAAATCAAAGTCTAGACCTACCTTAAAAGATTTGTTTTTATTATTATTCGTTGAATGTTTTTTTATTTCCTCAACTTCGAAAACAGTATTTGGAATTTTTTTGGCCAAATAGTTTTCTAATTTCTCTTTTGTTGTGGTTTGTTGTGCTCTTCCAATAAATAGCCATGCTTTTTTTGGTGCAGCCTGAAAATCATTTGCATCTTGAATAATTGCGCTCCCCTCGATATTTGTTTTCTTTGTATTTTTTTCCTTTTCATTTTTTTGTGTGGGTTCGTTCATTTTAGTTTGTTTATTGTTTTGTGGTACGTTTGAACTACTGTTGATTCTTTTTCTTCTATCGTTGTTTTCATTGTTTTCATTTAAAAGAGTATTTTTTACCTCGATGTTCGAATTTTTGGTGTTAATTAAGTGTTTTATAACCTTTGATTGTTCTTCTACTCTGTCTTCTAATTGTGTAACCATTTTTGATAATAGGTATTGTTCGTTTGGGTTACCTTGATTGTGTTGCGGGTCACCTTGAGATTTTTCTTTTGTTTCAAAGTGTACTTTTAGTGTGGTTTTTAGTTTAACCAGAGTGTTTTCTGACATATTCACTACACTACTCATTGTTGCACTTTTTTCCATTATTATAAGAATTAATTCTTCTTAATTTAACCTTTTTAAGGTCGAACTTAGAAAATTCACATCTACTACTTTCGCCATTTTATTAATTTGTTAGTTTTTCTTTTCGTGTTCACTGAAGCGATTACGGTCCACTGTTTAGTAAACTATATCCGTTTACGGTTCAGTCAACCTTAGCTAAGAATTATTATAAATATGATTGATTTAACAGTTACCTAGATTTAGTTACACTTCGCTTCTGAAGATGCCATCATCGTTGGCGAAAAGTACTTTAAGAACTTTGTATTTTGTTTTGGTGATGGAAAATACTTCTAATATTTGTTTTAAATACTACCAAAGTTCTTTTTCAAATAAACAATGTTCTGACAATGAATCCGGATATAAATATTGTTATAAGGAATAATAGGGAACAAAAACAATGGTTTAAAGGAAAAAGGTCAGTGGAGTTTCCAGTGTCAGTTTTACAAATTTTCAAGGTATAGGCTGAATAGTTTTTGCCGCCCTTGCCTCAACAATTGTCATATCATACATTATTTTTACAATGCAACAATTTCGTTGAAATTGCACGTAAAATAATTTTTCGGTATAGGTATTTTTGAGCTAATCGAAGCTCAATCATGTATGGGCGGGGTAATGTATGCTATTTACACAATAATGAACAATTGGTAAAGGTGAATAAATAATCTTTATGCACGATGACATTATAATATGACAATTATAACAAAAATTCTTTGACGTAAACGTCTTTTTATAGCCCGCGGGCGTTATTATGACCCAGCGGGCTATAATGAAACGTCAAAAATTAAAAACATTAGGCGCAAAACTATGAGCTTATTTTATTTTAAATTTATATTAACAATACAGTTATTACAATTAGTCATGTTTATGTTGCTTCCTCAATTTCATTCATCTTTAAACTTTAAAACTGACTGATGTCAATAATATTTAAGCACGATGACATTATAATATGACAATTATAACAAAAATTCTTTGACGTAAACGTCTTTAAAAACAATAATATATTAAAAATAATAATATATTAATCTTGCATAAAGTTTTGTATGCATTGCTGGCATAACTGGTTTTTATGGTCCTACGACGAAAAACCTTTTTATGCCCTTAATACATAAATAACTATTATTGCGCTTTCAAACAGTTAAAAATAATCGACTCAGTCAAGTCGGAATTAATGACCAAGATTACTTACGACGAAATAGAAGTTCGTTACAATGCCTTTTTTGTTGGCAAAATCATCGATGATGTCGTCGTAAGTAATCTTGTTCATTAATTCCGACTCTATGCACAAAGATTTTTTTTGAATTCCAATCGAATTTTCTGAAGCTACTAGTGCATGTGAAACACGTAATAGTGGATTCATAAAATTGAAATCTGTAAAATTTTTCACTAAATTATTCATTATATTCGAATAAAAATCCATCCAGTTCGTAGCCTCCAACCAGTAGTAAGACTGGCATGTATGGGTTGTTAGTGGGAAGAGGGGCATATTTTTTACAATTTTCTTTTCACTCATAAGAAGTATGGGCAAAGGGCGCAGAGGCGAGAGGCCGATTACTGGTTGAGGGGCGGCGAACTAGCTGTTTTACTCTAGAATATAGAAGTTTGCTACTCTCGGAATGTGCAATGACAAGTGAGAGAGAAAAGTCATCGAAAAAATTTGTTGCAGACTTCTATCTGTAAGACATCAGAAAACCGTCATAGAAAAATCTTTTTGATTTCTATGAGGTAAAAAAAAAATCGTTCCCCAAATTTGCCGCCCCCAAAATCTGCCGCCCTAGGCTCGAGCCTGCTGGTAAATCCGCCACTGGGAGTTTCAGGATTTATTTTGTGCAAAAATGTTTCAAAATATTAAGCTGTAAATATGGATATGGATACACTTAATATAAAGCCCAACGAAATATTAAACCCATAGATAGGTTAATTATACTAATATAATTTTGAAAATAGTTATAATTTGGATAATATTTAGGTTTATAAAAATATATGTAAATACTATTTCATAGCTTAATGAAAAGGGTGTTAGATATATTAAATATAAATTGTTTTGCTTCAGTTTTCTATGCGAACTCGACCATTCCACCTTAGGTACGCATAAACTAAATTTAGTTTTAAGTATACGGCTTATAAGCCGTGGTCTTAATCACACCTAATTTAAATTTATAAAACAATTTAAGCTAATCAAATTTTTAACGTATATAAGTGGTCAAATTTTACGTAATGCTCACAAGAATCACACTCGTCGACCCAGTGTTACGACGAACATGTATACTCACCTCGTATATATTTATTATAATTTTATCAACTGTTTAAGTTGCAAATTTAATCCTAAAAACACTCAAAATTATAAATCACTGGGTTATAGATTCAATAAAACTTTAAAAATTAATCCAAATTTGCATGTACAAGAGTTACACCAAGTTTTAATTAAGTTTTCCCGAAATATACTTGCACAGTTTCATATTTAATTTTATTAATGTATCAAAGGACCTTATTTGAATCCCAAAAGAACGTCTCAGTATTCGAACTATGATTTGAAACTGCTTGGTATTTATCAAGTCAAAATTGTTTTAAAATAATGTTTACCCTACACTTACAAGTAATGATTCTTGTAGTTGTTTTAAAAACTGTATAAACATAAAAATAGAGCTATTTTTTCTTAATTTATAATAGTTAAAACCGCTTTTCTTAGATAAATTTAATTTAATATGCTTTAACAAAGTATTTAATGGTGAAATAAAACTTACAATGTTCAAAATTTCATGACCATTTTAACACCAAATTAACACCATACTTGATCAATATCTATATTCAAACCAAAATGGTGTTAAATATGGTTCGTTGGTCCAGTGTAAATACAAATACTAAAATAGTGTAAATTTAACTTTCACACAGTATTAAAATAAATTTTACCTGGTGTAAATTGAACGACTTTTCAGTGTTAAATATTATGTGTTTTTGGTCAAATTAAATCTTACTACACAGAAAAAAAGGAAACAAAAGGAAACAGGAAGTTCCTTGACGCATTACAAGTATATTACCAGTGGTATTATTCCAGAAAATTGAACCTTCAACTCGCTAGAGATGTTTTTAGTGCGTTCCACAAACTTAAAATACTTTAAGTTTTGACAGCTGTTTCCACCTATTTAAGGTCTCTTTAGTATCGAACAACTTGTAGTGTCACACCAAAGCAAAGGACTACCTGAGCTTATATACTCTTCATGTAAGTCAACAGAGGCGGGATTTAAGAACATCACGTGATCCACACGGCCTTTGCCACGATTTGTACACACTATGCAACCAGGAATGCACGGCAAATTGTTTTAATCGTTTTAACAGAGTGCTTTGGGTTGAAGTAACTCTTTTTTTACAAACAACATATTTAGTAAACTGAACCATACAGCGGGTTGGTTTCACTAAAGTTTTCTGGGTTAATTTAACCAATTTAAAAAAATAAAATAACTATCTGGTTTAGTACCGTCAAACTAATCTTTGTTTATATTAACCTTCCCACAGTTGATTTAAATAAATACTTATGGGTCAACTAAATTAATATATTTAAATGAACTATTCCTTTTTTTCTGTGTAGGTGCACTCAAATATTTTTAGATAAACACCGTTTTGCTTTTGCTGTATATAACATTTTCAACCATAATTTATGGTGTTTATATTAACACCACTTGGTGTTGGATTTTGACACCATTTTAAGATTACTATTTACACCACAGATATTTTAAAAAGTGTACACACAAGGGTGGTTTCCAAAGGCGGCCGTTTTTCCTTATTACTTAACTGGTATCGTCGGGTCATTTTTGACCCGCAACTCGCTGCCTCACAGATTTCTTGTTTTTACGTTTAAGGAGAAGGGGTTCCGTAACTTCCCGGCGGGGTTGTGTATCAATTGATACACGGTGTATCATACACCAAGCATCAGTTTATAATCAGCTGCTGATTATCAGCATAGTCATTATTTTAATCTATACTTTATACGTCTATGTATCAAATAAACAATAATTATTATAATACTTATACGTATAAATTGTATTAGATTTAATCTAAAAAGTCGAATTTTAGGTATATAGTGTTGGCAGTTTTGAATTGTTTTTTAGTTTTAAAGGCAAAAATTAAAAATATGACTTTTTATTAATTAAATTACTTTAAATTGTTCATAATATGTAGTGCATTTTATTGACTATAAATATCACCCGGAAATTATGTGGAAAAGTAAAGGACCATTTACTAAAATATAAACTGACTTAACAAACCCGCCTGCGCGGAATACTTATCCCATTGAAAAATTATTTTTGTATTCGCTTTTTAATTTATTTTTGTTTGTTGTTTTTGTTTTTAACAACATTTCCTTTATGTGTTTTCTTTGTATCTTTAATTTTCCTATAATTACGCCTTTTGGACTTCTATAAAAAACTATTAAAGACGGAAACTAGTGCCAAATTTTACCAAGTCTGCCAAAGAAATCTGCATTAATAAGCAAAAAGTATGGCAAATTGGGAGAGTGGCGCAGTTTTTTTTTTAACTTTTGGACCATTTTCATTAAAAATAAGTTGTACATTTAAATGAAAAAAATTACTTAATTCTTAACAGCTTCTGTGTAAACCAGTTTTTCTTACCACGTGTAAATTACTGCCGGGATCTTGATCTACACTTTTTGCTTATTACATTGTGTAACAAAATTTAATGAAAAAAAAGTATATGGGTTGGTTAATTTAAATTAATTTTTATTCTTTTAATAAAAATTTTGAAAATGACTGTTCTAATTGATTTTTTATAGGCCAATGTGTGAAAACCTTGTACATTATAATTTTAAATGTAAGGATTACATTTGCAACTCAAACTGTTATAAATATTTATTTTAATGTGGTAGTCAATGTAGAGATTAAATTAATTTCTGAAAGGACTTCCGTTGTCTTATTTAATACAAAACGTTTCGATCATAATCTCTGAGCGTCTTC